ATGTAATATAGTGTCAGCTAAAAACTCAAACAACTCCTTGGCTGTGAACTGCAAGTGCTTGTGGCGAGACATTAGTTTCACACGATCTGAACAGGCAGAGACGAGTCGAGTTGATGTTGCAGCTCTTTTTGCAGCCATCCTGCATTTGGCCTCGGGCACAGCTTTGTCTCAAAATAAACAATGACACGCCTCTGTGTTGGCTGTGGTACGGCAGAATGCCTGTCAGAGAGTGCCCTGCTGCTGGTTGCTAACCCCACCCATCCTTAGCCCCTGCACGGACAACACTCGACATTTGCGGCATGATAAGCTTTGATTACATGCCAGACAGCAACCGATCAGCCCCAGTGAGTGGGGCCAATGTTGCACTGCAAATGAAATGGCAAAGACGAAGAGTAGCAGACGAGCAGAAGGCAAAAATTCTATAAATATTGTTTGCAAATTGCAGTTTGGGGTCGTGCTGGGGTGGGCATATGTTGGTGCCGTGGTGCGGGGTTGCCGCATGGTGCATGGTGCATGGTGCATGTGGCATGGTGCAGCAATGGGAAACTTGGCGAGCTGCTTCCAAGAAATTTGCAGCAACAATGCCTTGTGACACGCATTTCCTGGCTGTGCAGCGGGCAGACAGGCTATAGAATATCTTCCAGATACACACACACACACACAACACACTCGCACACAGACGCTTAGAACTTGTTTGGTGGCTTTTGCGCGTGCGCAACACACATTTCCGTTAGCTCAACAGCTACCAAGTGGAGATCAATGGACGCGCCAGCGGCAGCTGCCGCTTATCGAATCTGAGAGCAAAGCAAGTTAAGCATTTTTTTTTTTTTTTAATTGTTGGACTCTTGTCCGGAGTTCGCGGAGAACGCGTCTAGAAATTGTAAAAGTCATTGAGGCTCATTGACCCATTTCGAAAGCAGCTTGTTGTCTGCCCGATTGAATAGTTGAATAGGTAGTTGAATAGCTGGGCATCATTAAAATATATACACAGCCTTATATACATATATGTTCTCAATGCTCAAGCGACAAGTTTTTGGACTTTTGGGCGCGACACAACGCCCGCAGCATGGCCAGAAGCCACATTCAAGATCGAACCTGTTTTGCCTAGCAAATTAGCAACAACAACAACAACAACAGCTGCTGCTGCTGCTGCGGCAAATATTTTGTTGTAGCCAAAAAAAAAAATAACAAACAAACAAAAACTCGCATAGCCGTAACGAGTATTAAATAGCGAATTGACCCAAATTGTTTGGGTGTTAACATTGTGCCTGAAATATCAAAGAGACTTACAGAACAACACGAGAAAGTACCGAATAGCTAGAATCGGGAGCCCGACTCTACCTTGTAAATGCTAATGCCTGGCATGTTGCTCGATATGGATTTGGGTTAAGTGCGCAGAGAGAGGCCCTGATTAATGAGCCGCCGCTTAGTATTTGCTGTTCATGCCAATGCCACTGATCCCATTTTGAGCCAAATTTGTGAAATGTCTTTCAAATGCAATGCAAGATAAAAATATGCCAGACGCAAGCTCTGCCGACTGTCAGTTGCTTTTTGGTCACAGCACACATATATTCATAAAACTTGCTATTCTGTTAGTTTGTTAGAGGAAGTGGACATTTTTTGGTGTTAAGTAAATCAACTGGCTTGCGATTGCAGGAATATTCTATTTCACATTGCTTTCTTGTCAAAAATATTAAACAAAAGACAATCGGAAGCTGCACAAATACAGTCCAAACAGGCAAATGCATGTAAGTGTGGGAAATGGGAGGAATTTTAAAAAAAATTAAATATACTCAAATAGTGTGTATTAAAAGAAAGCCCACATACCAAATTTGATGCATTTAGCTCATATAACCCTCTAGTTATAAAAGTCTCAAAATCGATTTTTATCAATATTATGGAAACGGGAAGGAATATCGAATAGAAATGATAATATTCTTCAGTTTTATATTATTTCAAGTATTTAGCTTGTCTAACTGCGAAGTTCGACACGTGCAACCAGACAAACAGACGGGCGGGGCATTACTGATGCTTCACGCTGCCTGTAAGATGATACCCTTTTTAGCCATGGATATGATATATGTACCTGCTGACTTGAGATATCTGGGTCTTAGAGCTTGCAATGTGGCAGACTTTGTTTGCCAAGTATTTAGCTTTATACGCTGACTATATTTTGCGTAGACCTTATTCACCAATATGTAAATTCGCTTGCTCCGCTTAGGACTTCAATGTAATTGTAACTCGTATACCCTAGTGTATGCACTAGTGTCTACAGGGTATAACAACTGTTGACTTTAAACTCTGAGTGCAGCTGAGATGAGTTGAGTGCAAATCATCAGAGATTTATAACAACTTCGGGCGCAAGCACACGTACGTACATATGCATTTATACACTCACACATATATATATATATATATATATATACGATTATGTATGTATGTATATGCATGTAGGTTTGTTTGTATGTATTTCTAGATTTTCACTGGCACAGATAGAGTTTCAGATAGGTAGTGCCTGCATATTTCACGAGCCCTGCAGCCGACTAGCTCGAGGATGTGCTTGTTGCCAAAAAAAAAGAAGCAATAAAAAATGAAAAATACAACAAAAAAAACAGCTTGTTGAAAGCATGTTGCAAAATATTTTGTATAATGTTCGCTAACTCTTCAACTGTCTGTCTGTGTGTGTGTGGGCTTGTGTGTGTTTGTGTCTGTCTGTGTATGTGTGTGTTTGCTGGGCAAAGTTTTTGCGGCGCATGCAAATGAAATGGAAAACACTTGAGCAAAAACTCTAAGCTGCCAGGATGCGACCTGGCTCAGGGACCGTTTCTGCGTGTGTGTTTGTGTGATTGTGTGTGTCTGTGTGTCTGCGTGTGTGTGTGTTTGTTTGTTTGTTTGTGTGTGCTTTGCATTTGCCTGATTTTGGGCTGCAGCAAATGTTGCACAAAGTTTTTGATTATGTAAAAATTGCATTAAAGCTGCGGGCGGTCGGGGCTTTGTAAAGGGTTTTAAGTGCCTGATGCTGCTGCTGCTGCAGCTGCCTTTCAAATGGCCAATCCCACGGGCAGGCAATCATAATGGAGTCTCAGGTGTGCCGGAACTCTCGGCAGACGGTTTGCATAGAAAGAGACAGAGAGCGAGAGAGGTGAGAGCTGCTTAAGCAGCAGGGCCAACAAACTGTTTAGTGGCCCAAGGGGGGAGTGAGTGTGGGCGAGGAAAAGAATGAACAGGACATGCAATTTGCTGGCCAAAGACATGGCCCATACAGAGGACATGCGGATACACAGTCACAGCTCCTGTCTGTCAATTGAAAGCGCAGACGGCACGGAACGGAAACGAAAAACGGGAAACGGAAAACGGGAAGAGGGAACGGGAACTGGATCGAGTTAAAAGTGTCGCCCGTTTGTCTGGCACTGTGGCCCAACTCGAATGTCCGACAGTGGCCATTGTCATCCATTTGCCACAGACACTGCCATCACGTGCAATTTGTAGACAAAATTGAGCTATGAATGGCCAACCAGCTGCTGCAATCCAGGGGCACGCCTTTTGTTTATCGCTTCGCAAAACGCCTCGAGGCAGGTCAAGCGTCGGCACGCCGACAGTGCCGCATTTGGGTCCAGCATGGAGTTCCCCTTGCAGTGTCATAAATATTAGAAGTCCGCCGTTAGACATAACGCCAACGCCAACGCCGACGCCGACGCCAACTCAAACGCTAACTCAAACGCCAACGTGAAAGCCAAAGCCAACGCCAGCGCAGCCTTCGTGCGGCGCATACAAAGATACACAAGCCCAGATAGACAAACAGATTGTCGCCTGAGGTGTCGTGTGTCCAGAGCGCAGATGGAAATGGAGATGGCAATGCGCTGCTGTCATTTGTTGGAGACTGCAACCGCTTCACTAAGCCACAGCCCGTTCTAGCACGCCGCACCGAGCTGGAGCTGGAGCTGGTTGCTAGCTGTCCAGTGTTCATGACAACAGGCAAATATAGTTTTGGTCAGAATGGGTGTGGCAAAGGGCCTATTTAATGTGTTTAGTTTATCGGATAAGAAAGCGATATATTATATTATCGATTGATAAGTTATCTACGATTCCTTATTCTCAGTTCAAGTAATGCGCTGTCTTTAAAATCTGTCTTCGTCCAAGATCCAAAAACTAAAATTAATTTAATTGCGTGATTTTGAACCCTCCTAAATGAAGTATAATTCGCAAAGTTTTTTATTTGAGCTGGCATCTTTTATAATAATAATATTCGTAGAACGGTTTGGTGGTTTTTTGGGCAACCGATTTGGTTTAGGTTTCGCTTTTTCGTAAAAAACATAAAATAGTTTGGAATTTAAGTTCGAACCGTTCGAATTGTTATTTTTATGTCTTTAAACTTATTGTTAGATCAACATCCATTTTATCGATAACTTGTCGCATGGGCTTCCCACACTTATCGATAAATCACCAAATGCACTTTGTAACCAACTGCTAAACCCACACTCCCCACTGTGTGGACACTTTTAGATTGTTTTCCATTAGGCAAAGGCCTCATCCTTATCCTTGCCCGGCGCTGTAGTTCTTCTCCGGCCGGATGGACAGCCGCCTGTCTGCCCGGGGTATGTTTGTGTGCGCTGTGAGAAATATTACACGCAATTTTCAAGTTGACATTTTGCGTCTGATGCTCTGTGCTGGATGGGGGGAAACGGAAATGGCTGCGCGGCTGGCCGACATATTAAAAATGAATGACGGCATTTCATTAGTGAGCGGTCGGGTGGTGGTGGTGATGATGATGGTGGGTGGAGGGCAGCGGAGAGGGGTCGATTTTGATGAGAAATGCAAAGTAATTTGGCAGTGACACCGCGTGGCAACAATTTTTGTTGTAGGCACGCGGTAAGTAGGCAACAATTTATATATTGCCTGGCGCCTAACTTCTTCATTTTATTCTTTTATTGCAGAGAAAACACACAAGAAGCTAAAGCAAACGCAAACACAGACAAAGAGTGAGAGAGAGGGAGAAAGACAGAGCGAGAAAGAGAGAGAGAGAGAGAAATAACTAACCAGACAGAGATAAACAACAACAACATAATTGCAACAATGGCGCACTCGAAGGTCATACTAAAGATTCTGTTCTCGCTGTGCGTGTGGTCTTTTATTATCATTGGACTGTTCAAGATGCACGGCACGAATCTGGTGCCACAGGATTATCGGCAGGTGCCGCAGGACTATCAGCAGCTGCCACTCAACGGCCGGAGTCTGCTGCAAAAGGATATGCTGCGCTATGCAGAGACCACATCGACCACAACCGATCATTTTGATCCCAGCGAGATACTCGTCGACAATCGCACAGGTGAGTTTGCTGCCAGCAGCAGCTGCAGTAGCTCCAGCTTGCAACATGCATTCCCACTGAATTTGTTTATTTAACTATGCTTTGTTCTTTGTTGCTGCAGCCATGGACGATGATCAGCTGGTGCGAGACGTGGAGTCACGAATACCATCCCTGCCGATCGCCTACTGGAGCAAGAACAAAAACTTTCTGCAGCAGAAATCTGCGACATGTGCCAAATACCCATCGATCTTCGAGCTGGAGTTCAACAACATCTATTGGCAGACGCTGCGCACATCGAATGGAACATTTCAGCTGTTTGGGGCCTACTATGACATTCGGCGCACCTCGCTCCTGGGTCCGACAGTGCGCATTCTGGGCATGATCGATCGCATCGAGCCAAAAGTTAAGACCTACTGTCAATTCTGGTTTGATGGCCAGAAGGAGCCGTTCATTGTGAAGACGTTCGAGTACAAATATATATGGTACAACAAGTGGGGCAACTACAAGCAGGGCATTTATCAGCCCTATCTGATTGCCTGCCAGATACCCAAGCCCTTTCACGGCGTGGTCCCCAGCTCCGTGTCGATGGTGGAGAAGGAGTGCGACACGGCCACCAACAATTTGCGGGTCATCTACAATCGGCCGCCCGATGATCAGAAGAAGGGTTTCGCCGTCTGTGTGAAGGGTCTGGACTTTTTGTACGATGATCTTAGCGTGCGGCTAATTGAATGGATCGAAATGCTTAACATCTTGGGCGCCGACAAGATCTACTTTTACAATTTGCAAGTGCATCCGAACATTTCCAAGGTGCTCAGCCATTATGAGCAGGAGGGCAAGGTGCAAGTGATACCATTAACCCTGCCCGGCGGCCAGCCCAATGTGCCCGGCTTCCAGCATCTCTATCTGACAAAGAAGACCAACCACAAGCGACAGAACGAGGTCATACCATACAATGATTGCCTGTACAAGAACCTCTATCTGTACGATTATATAGCGCTCCTCGACATTGACGAGGTGATCATGCCCAAGGGCAATTCGATTCTGTGGTCCGAGCTGATGGCCAAGGTGCGTCCCGAGTCGCTGAAATTCAAGCCCGACGGCTATCATAGCTACAATTTCCGGAATGTTTACTTCCTGGACGACCAGCAGCACGAGCACGGCTGGCACAAGGATATACCCAAGTATATGCATATGCTGCAGCATGTGCATCGTGCCAAGAACTACACGAAGCCCAATCAGTATGTGAAATGCTTTCACGATCCGGAGCGTGTGCTCACCCTGCACAATCATTTTCCACTGAGCTGTTTGGGTGGCGTTTGCAAATCGTATCCGGTGGATACGCAGGATGCACAGCTGCAGCATTATCGCGCCGACTGCGTGAAGACGCTGAAGAAGAGTTGCGAGGAGTATCGCGAGAATTCGGTTGAGGACAAGACCATATGGAAATACAAGGACGAGCTCATTAGACGCACCATTAAGACGCTCGAAACGCTGGGCTTCTTTAGGCGCAGCGGTGGCGGCGGCGGCGCTGGATTTGGCGGCAGCAGCAGCGGCCTCGGAGGTGGCGCCACAACGCACTCCACGGAGCGGTGATTCGAGCTACTTGGCGGCTGGTCGTGGCCCTGGCTGCCAGTAGCGCCCTATATGGAACCAGCGGCAGCTGGCGCAATGGGCAACGAGGAGTTTTTTGTTTAGTGAGAGCGTAAAAGAGATAAAGAGTAATTTAGCATGAGAGACAGATAGAGAACGAGAGAGAGACAGAGAGAGAGGGAGAGTTCCTTGCCGCAGCAGAAACCGTAAACGCTACCGAACCCGCAACTGAACTCAAATCCATAACTTGAACCCGTCCCGTCCCCCAACTCCTAGCCTAGAGCTCGATTTGTTTATTTTCTGTATTATAGAAAAGTTTTTATTTTATTTTATTTTTATTTTTTTACTGATTTAACTTCTGTATTTGATAGTTCCCTTTATATGTATGTATATTTAGTTAGTTAGTTCATATTATAAATTTATTTTTGATATATGTATGCCCTTATCAACCTACTTTTATACCTAAGTACTATCTATCATATATATACACACACACATACATATATATGTATACACACACTTTCGTATGGCTAGTGTAAAAAAAGCGAATGAAAACACTTGAAATTGTGCCTTCAACTTTAAATTGTAGTGTATAGGGTTTTAGAGCAGCGACTCTCTATGTGTCTGGCTGCGCGAGCTAAGCACTTGACAACACATAAATACATACATACCATACATACATATGTATATAAGTATATATGTTAACCTATACCCAAGTATATGTATGCACATATTTAACTGCTTATTGGGATGTGGCCCAACAAAAACAAAAATGCAATTGTTTTTACTGTATTCACAAAAGACGTTACAAAATAGAAGCTTGAGTTGATGACAAAGGCAAACAAACTAAACAAGAAAATACACATAAACCAACAAACTAACAACTAAAACAAAAAAGAAACCTATACTAAGTTCAAGACTGATGATGTTTATTAATAATTAGATACAATTGCGAAAAGCCCTTGAAAAACGAAAACAAAATTATGTGAAATGGAAAGAAATTTCAAAAATTTATTTCAAATTCGCTTGCGTAAGCAAAGAACATTTCAATTGATATTATGCATTAACTAACTAGTTAGTATTTGTTGTGGCTGCCAGCCACAGCTATCTGTACTTAGCCACTGAACATGAAATATCACTAAATGCTAAGCAGAACATCTGAACAAAAACATAAGTTGTACATAGTTTAATTGTTTAAAAAAAATAAATATACATGTTAAACACAAGCACGTGCGAAAGCGAACAAAAAAACAAAAAATCAAGCATAGAAAAAAAGAACAAAAATACAAAAAAAAAAGAAAATAATTATATTAATAATCATATAATTATTAAACAGTCGCATCTACTTCTAGTAGCAAGCTGCTCAAATGAACAAAGTTGCTTTTGTATTTTTAAGGACGTTTTTTTTTTGTTTTTTTTTTTAATTATTTTTGTGTCAAACCATTTCTATCCTATAAATTGTAAGCACACAATTTGTTTCTTTATAATTGTTTTACTCAATTGTACATAAAATTGGCACATTACGGATTTTGATTTATATTTTTACTATTGTTTCCTTATCAAAACCTATTATTTTATATTACTCGACATTAATTTAGCAGCTTAGTCAAATTGTTGGAACTAAAACAAAAGTTGTTTGCATTTTGCATAAGCGTTGATTTGTATGGAACATACTTTATATATAAATAAAGTAAAAATAAATATATATATATATATAACTATATATATATTTACCAGGTTGCAGATATGTACTTAAACTATTGCACTAGATCACATCGATCTACAAGTAAATTTAAATATATACATACATAGATATGCATAAATACATACACACATATATTAATATATATATATATATATATATATATATATATACATAAATAAATGTATTAATGTTAGTTGATAATTATATGATGAGACCCAAACTTTTTTTTTGCCTAGCTAATAATAACAATTGATATGAAAACAAGTGATTGATGAATAAAATTTAAAAAATTGTACATTCAGCAAAGTTTTTTGACAACTGGCATTGTGAGCATTTTATTGGGAACATTAGTAACTTTTATGTATCTGACAGATACATTTGCATTTTTGTGTGTTTTACATGAAAAGTTTTGTTTTGTAGCTCAACACAAATGCTTTTATTTAATTATAAATTTAAGTAAAATAATAATACTTTTGTATCTTAGATACGAAATACTTTTGTATCTTACAGATACTTTTGACCTTTGCATCTTTCAGATGCCAGCTGAAAGCCAAATCGCAAAACATTCTTTCATGGCTGCATAAGCAGTAGATGCGTTAAAATTCTTAGCTTCTCACTTGTTTAAGCAACCGGCTAAGCCGTTCGTGGATAATTCTTTGCTTATGCCATGGCAGAGTAATTGCCGCCTTTAGCTTAAACCTAACTCTAGGTCAAATGGTTTTGGGGCTTCAGTTAAGCACAAGTATACTATTTAGTCTATTCATGATAGCCAAATTTTGGGGCATGCAAGCCCAAATGTTCGCACACACACTTACACACAGATACACACACGAACACACACACACTCGCACACTTGAATAGAGACAGAACCCAAGTCTTTTCCAGTTGAGTGGTTAGCTACCCGGGCACCACCTTGGCAGGAACGTGGCATCGTTGCTTACAGCGTGTCCAGCGTGGCAAGACGTGAGATACAAAACTTCTAAGAATGTAAACAACAAAGCATTTATTCTCAGGCATAAATGAATCCACTTACGCACAACTTGGCTACGAACGCGCAGCAGCCAGAGATGCCACAGCAATCGCAGAAGCCAGGCACACACAGCCCAGCATAGTTCGGGCGTGCAGGCATAGAAGCCAGCCAAGACAAGAAACAAGGCATACCTAGAGCCGCTGCACAAAGAAAGTTGTGCGCCTGGAAGCGACGGAAGGATAAAAACTACAAAAAAAAATAAAATAAAACCAAAAACAAAAAAGGAAGAGATGAAGTTACAGGGTATTCTGGGGTTGGCAGAGCCAGGCAGCGTGTCGGCGTTGTTGGTGTGGTAACTGGGGCTGGTAACTGGAGCCAAAGAAATTTGTATAAACGCAACTTAAGTGAGCATTAAACACGCTCCACTGAAGGACTCCGGCCGACGGGGTCCCTTTCGGAACGGTGGCGCTTAACTTGGTTAATAAACATTACCAACGCCACAAAAACCATTTACGTGAACTATTAAAATTCCGCAGCATTTAAGTTGCCTTTGCCTTGTTTCACGATTATGTTTATTTATATGGTTGCAGGAGCAGGAGAAGCTGCAGCAAGGCGCACACTCACACACACACACACAACAAGCTGTGAGGCGTCTGAGATGAAAACCCCTTTTTGGTTTTGCATGTGCGTTGGCCGTTAAGTGAAATCTCATGGCTGCATGATGAGGCAACTTTAAGTAAGTCTATATATCCTTTTATGAATATTTGCCCATTAAACGGCATAGAAGCTGGCTCCTCTGGGCCCATGCCCAAAATTAGGTACTAATGCATTCGCCGTTGGGTCAAAGTATATAGTATAGGGCCTCATATAGTGCACACTCGCAGCAGCGAATAACTTAAAAACGCACAGGTAAGTCTTTTGAGTATTTGGTCCAGCTTCTCGATGCGGATCTGCCGCCCTCCATCATATCTTTCACATGAAACGCATTGGGTATAGCAAGAAGGACTTATAAATAATTAATCAGACAATTTAGAGCGCAAGTTTGGCTTAAATTGTATGGGGCCGACAATGCAAATACTGGCAAACTAATTAAAATCTACTATAGGATCGCCGAGCAGCATATTTATAATGCATGCACATAAATCCTGAAATTAAGCGCTTCGGCTTAAAAAGCATGCAAAATTAAAATGTGCAATTACGATGCAGTTGCCAAGTGTGTGTCTGTGTGTTTGTGTGTGTATGTGTATAGAGAGTCATTTTAATTAAGTCAATTACCCAGCGGGAATTTGTTCGAGTTCTTCGAGGGTTCCACTTTTTAATGCACGAAGCTATAAAAAGTTTTTTCAACGAATTTGCGCCACAATTTTGTCTGCTTTTAAAAAGCAATAAGTGAAGATACTCTTAAAAGGCTGAGAAAAATCGGATTTGAGCGATCATCATTAAATTAGAAGTCAGGAAATATACATTATAAAATCATATATGAATTAAATTTAACTGAATTACCCAATATCTTAATTCCGCCAAAATGTCGAAGGCATACTTTTGGATCGTTTTAAATTAAGGTATGCAAAAGCCTGCCTAGCTACTCAAAAATGTGTTTTCATTTCAGGTGTTCAACCACAAAGCCAGCGAAATGTTTCCCGCTGGGATCACATAGTGGTATTAGCGTAGTTTTGTTTTCAAGCATTTGGCTTTTGGCGTTATAAACTAGAACCACATGAAATCCATGCATTTGGTCATTTGGTTGATTTGTCGGTTGATGCGAATAGAACCTATTGCGGTTGGGACTGTGTTACAGGTTTAAAACATATGTACACATATATTCATATCTATTCTGAACGCACGTGTGTGAGTGTTAATTTATGATGCATTGCTTTAAATACAAAACGTAACGAATAGGGGATTGAGAGTGAATCCACTATCATTATTTTATAAATTATTATTCAACGCATTCAACTTTGCTGAAAAGGTATAACATTATATCTCACAAAGAACTTTGGAAGTGAGTTGGTAAACAAAAAACATGCAAAATTTCTATTAAATTTCCACAGTTGCGGGTGGAATTTTCAATATTGGTGATAAGTATTTATGTAGAGCTTTGAAAATATTTTTGAAGGAAATCGGAGAAAAACTTAAAACTTCGCCCATTCAGTCAGTCAGTTAGTTAGTCAATCATTCAAACCAAACAGTTATATATAGAGATAAATATATATTCAAAATAACTTACTCACCTGTAAATCCACACAAACACATTATTTATCGCCGTCTTTCAATAGGGGGATGAGAACTTTTAAATATACACAACACTGAAAGAACAGAAAATCAGAGGTATTGTTTATTAGTTTAAAAAGGCAGCTTGCTTGCTTATTTAAATTAGTGAGAGTCGCGTAGAAGAGCAATATTTATAAATACGATTCTTCTTCATTTGTTGCTCAGGTAAACATACACACATATATTAATACATTCATACAAACCAACATGCATACATACGATTGTAATTGTTCTTATTTGTTCTAAATATAATATGACATAGTTTTGTTTATAATACATACCAGTTTTTTCAACTGCCTCCGCCATAACGATAGCCGGTATCTCCTCCATAGTTCATGCCGCCGTAATTACGTACTTACCTGTAAATCAGCAGGCGGGACACGAACTTTTATATAAACACATCACTGAAAGAACAGAGATAATCTTTATTAGCTTAAAAATGCAGCATGCTTTCTAAACATTACTTGAGTCAGTGAGACTACAGTAAAAACTTAACTACAGTAAAAATTTTGAGCTTTCGGCTTGGAATGTGCCTTGATCACTAGTCAGTCAGTCTGTCAGGACAAATTGTTTTATAAACAGAGATTTATTTTCATACTCATATTCCAAAGTGTTGCATAGGTAGTAAGCCAGCTGTCAGATATTCGCATATCGGACGTAAGGATATCACCAGTTTATAATTATGGCGCACACACAGCATACGTACAAACACACACACACACACACACACACACACACACACACGCGCGCACTCACTCGCATATGCATATGATTTTGGGCTGCGTGTTATGCGCTTTAGAATGTAATTGTAAATATGTTTGTGTGAGTGTGAGTGTGAGTGAGTGTGTGTGTGAGACCAAACAGGAAATGCTAATTGCATGGAAGTGTGGACGCCCAAGGACATGTATTTGTGTGGCTGTGCGAATGTGTGGGTGTGCGTCAGTGTATGTGTGTGAGTGTGTGTGTGTAACAGGCAATGTATATGCAAGTCGCGGTCTCAATCGTTGCTGGATTGCAGTCGCACCCCCACTGCCAACCTGCATCATCTAACTGGCTAACCCGACACAGTCATACAATATTATTGCCCACAATCTAATTAGCCGCACGGAGAGAAGGAGAAGGCAGGAGACCGGATGCCATCGCTCTGCCCCTGCATTCCTTCGCATCTTCAATTCTCCAGTTCTAATCCTTGCTGCCAATATTTGCTTCTCGTTTTGGCAGCCCTCAATTGGCTGCTGTGTTTGCCAGCTCAAGCTTAAAGTATAGCCACATGCCTGGTGTGCATCCATATGCCAGGCACACATACGCAACTACACACACACGTAGCACACACGCATAGTTGAAGCTATATGCTTAATTGAGAACGGAATTCAGCGGTAATTCAATTCGTTTCGGCTGCCTTTATGCTCGCAGGATTGGATAGGCAGCGGACCCTCGTTCAGCCGGTGGCACTTGTGGCCAGGCATTTGCCTGTTTAGTGCATTTAAAGATCTGCTCTTAACAGAGCAGGGTTAAAGCCACATTTCCCTTTTGCCGGTACAGGCAGTGACACAGTTTTCGCTCCGTTTTGCTCCTTTTTTTGCTCATTTACCAGTCGCCATTCACAGTTGCCGCTGCCAGGACGAGAGCGAGTGCGAGGTCTGCCACGTTCTGCTCCTGCCGTCGATTAGTCAATTATAGACAAATGGCCTGGGAGTTGCGCGCGGCGCAATGTAAACAAGCCATCAATAGCAAAAAGGAGTGAACTGCGGTGTCCTCAGAAACAGAGAAACGGCACAATGGCAAACGGAGAAACGGGAAATGCCCCCAACGCCAGCTGGAGCGAGCGGCGTGGACGAGATAAAAGAATTATGCATAAGCAGCGGGGCACACACACACACAAAAAGCAAGCAGCCCGAAAGGCAAGACACCCTGGGGCACAATGGAGTGAAAAGCACAAAACGGAAACCACAAAACACAGAAAAATTTAAAACAGGTATAACGGAAAAGTCCATAAATAAATGAAGCAGAGTAACAGTCGTTGCAAAAAGGAAAAGTCGTATAGATATAGGTATAGATATAGATATAGATATAGATATAGATATAGATATAGATATAGATATAGATATAGATATAGATATAGATATAGATATAGATATAGATATAGATATAGATATAGATATAGATATAGATATAGATATAGATATAGATATAGATATAGATATAGATATAGATATAGATATAGATATAGATATAGATATAGATATAGATATAGATATAGATATAGATATAGATATAGATATAGATATAGATATAGATATAGATATAGATATAGATATAGATATAGATATAGATATAGATATAGATATAGATATAGATATAGATATAGATATAGATATAGATATAGATATAGATATAGATATAGATATAGATATAGATATAGATATAGATATAGATATAGATATAGATATAGATATAGATATAGATATAGATATAGATATATACATATGTAGCACAGCCATGGAATATGCTGCAGTGTTTCCGAAGGCAAGGTGTGCGGCTGAGCTCTTTGTGTGCTCAGAGCAGCAATACCTGTATATGGGCATGTGTGTATGAAAGTCTCTATATAAGGGGCGAGAAGGCAACCACATACATATTTTTATGAAACGGAGCTGGCGTCCAAGTTTCCCTTAGACCAAAACAAATCCCAAACGGATATCGGGAAAAAGCAGTTTGGTGTCGGCCATTTGTTTGGACTTGAACATGGGAGCGGGGCAAGTGGATGCCGCTGGAACATCGTTTGGATTGGGACTGAGGCTGGGACTGGGCTTGGCATTCGGTGCTTAGCGACACTGTTAAGAGATAAACAAAAGTTTTGGTGCCATCGAACGCTAGGACGAGGCAGGGCAAGGTGGCACAGTTCGCAGAGGCAGAGTACATTCTGCGAATACTCTTACAGAAGTTTAAATTGTATCCGTATCGCTGAAACACCATCAGCCAGAATGCATTTAAACGGGCAAAAGCACAAAGAAGGCGTCACAATGGAGCAACTGCACTGTGGAAGCGATGCCATCTTACAATGGGATAAGCATAGTCTGAAGTTGGGTTTGAGTTGACGTCTTGAGTTTGAGTTTATGCTCGACGTAGAATCAAATATTAATATATTAATATTCCGCGTCAATTTCAGCTGATGTCGTTTGGCAAACAGGTAGCTAAAGTCATAAAACGCCAATCACGCCCTTTACATGATCCTTGCCAAGCGCAGATTTAAGACCATTTATCTATACGCATAGCCCATGGTTTGCGCCAGTTACAATAACCATAATCGCCCAGTTCAGCCCTCGGCTCTGCACATTTTGGGCTACAGCAACCACACGATTTGCGCTAAATGCCAACTAGAAAATGGATGCTTCCATTCGACAGGCAAGGCAACAACAGCTATCCCTTTTGACCATTGTTGTGTCAACGCCCAGCCCAGACACCCGACGCACGCCCCTCTACCCGCCACGCCCCTCTTCTGGACGTGCTGCGGGACTGGCATCAAAACAAACAAAAGCAAAATCTAGTTAATTGGGTAAAATGCTGTGCGGAAATTGAAAGCAAAAGCACAAACAGCGACACACACAGAGTCAGCCGCTCTGGCAGTGGCAGTGGCAACAGGAGCAGAGGCGCCACCAAAAGTTGGAACCAGTTGCATTTGACATTACCGTTTTGGAGCGGAAATGCCTGTGATCCCGTGCAGCGCCTCCGTTGCCCAAAATGCAATAAATATCTAAATTGGCGCATGGCATTCGCATTTGCATTCTCTGCGGCTGCTGGCCGGGCTCTGTTTGTGCCATTGTTCATCGATTTATGCAAATTTCTGCGTACATTTTATCAATAAACAATAATAAATTAAAATCAACAATCATTGTGCGAGCTGCTCGTTTGGCAACTTAGCCAGGCGCCAAAATTGAAAACAAAATTTATAAATGCCAATTGTCATCGGCCAATGGCTAATGGGCAATGCCAGCAGCAACAACAACCACAGTTCCATTATTTAGCATTAGAGATGGGCCTATTAGATGCCTGTCTCCCAGGCCGATTAGCAAAAAGTTGCCACTGGTTCGGATCACGGTTCGCACCAGCTTCCTGCCTTGCGGTTCGGTTCGTGAATTTTATAGTCCGTAGACCTAGGAAGTGGGTAGAAGATCCGGGCTAAATTAGAGTCTGAGTTATTTACGCACAAATGGTACTATCGAAATAAACCCATTTTAGATAAATACATATATGATTCGGTTAGCCTATTTTGTGGTTCAAGGTTCGTTTTTTCAGTTGGAGCTGGTTCGCTTCAAAATCGGTTCGCAGGCTTGATTACAACTCGGATATCAAACTCAACACGTTTAGATAGACTTTAGATAGACTTGAATATTTTCAGAGTTTTGAATTTAGGCGTTCTTGCAAATTGGAATTTAAGTTAATTTACTTTGGATTTAATTTGAATAAATTGAACACAAGTCCACCTCTAATCTATGATTGTGTATGGCATGGATATGGTATATGGATATAGTGTATGCCATCTACTTTATGCACATAGACAAATTTACGCGAATGTTACAACAAGAAAAGCAACAACAACGCTTATTACGGTATTTGCAATCAAAAATGAAACCGAAAAACTCATCGAAACGAAATGCATAACAAATGGAGCGCAGCCGGAGGGTGAATGGGCACAAAGTATTGACCCAATGGAAAATCCAATTGCTCCTCTATATGAAAATCCATGCATAAAATAATTTAATAATAATAGGAATAATTTGAAGTAGATTAGGTGTACGCAGACAAAATATAAACAGAAATTATAGCTGTAGGCGTCTGTTTCCACAGGCATTCCAATTGAGCTGACATAATTCGATATATGATAATTTCATATTGCATCAAGTTAAATATTTTTCTTCTCAACAAAATGCAGAATAAACACTTTGCATTTAGTTTCAAAACTGTGCTGAATACATTAAAGCTCTTTCGGAACCCTAATTAGCTGTATATTCTTGTATTTACTATATTTTAATTATTATAGGAAATATGCTTGTGCAACATAAATTTGGCCTCTCCATTTCACATCGACCGAGATGCTTACAATTAAAAAAAAAATATTAATTAAATGGTTAAAAGCTTCCCTTACTTTGCAATAAATTAAAGCGAGAAATAACGCAAACAGAAGCCAAAAAAAAAAGCCCGTGAATGAGTCGAGAAATCTCCTCTGATGAGGCAAGAGTTAATCACAAAATACTTGGGCATCCTACAAAAAAAAGTGTGTAAAAGATTAAGAAATAAGAGCCGCATTCCTAGCGGGCACCATGAAGCCACAGATGGGGTAACTGGCATGCTGGAGCCGCGGTAGGGGGGCGCGTTGCTTGGCGCATTGCGTTTTCGGTTTGGGTTTTTGGCTTGTTGGGTCAGTTTTGCATACTTTTGTGCGGGGCACATAAAAAATTTGCATTTTCCATTTCACGGCAGGCGTTCGCGTCAAATGAAAACCGCCAGAGCTGCCCCCACCCTGGCCAAATACAGTTGGCCTCCCAGCGCCAGTCAATGAATGCACGGGAGGCGGTCCAGGTCCACGCCAGAAGATGAGTCGGCCTGGGTGCGGCCACTGTGCACGAGCCTCGACTCAAATCCACAAACAACAAGCCGATGATTTATTACACTTTTGACATTATTGATATTTTATTTGTGTGCGATGAAGTCATTTAGTGCAACTGCAACGGCAACGACAACGGCAACGGCAACTGCAACTGCATCTCGGCCAGCAGGATAACCACTGAACCTTGGCGAATGATTTATTCTGACGTCTCAGCACTAAGTTATGCATGCTCCACACACACACACACACACATAAACGTGCACACACCACACACCTAATCACATTCAAATATACTCATATACGTATATGCAAAAAGACACAAGGCAGGAACACACAGAGTCAAAGGAACTCTGTAGGATCTTTAGAGAAGCGGGTTTTCTTCAGAAATTGTATTTTTTTTTAAATTTTAAGTCAATTTGCACACTTAAAGCATTATCTATCTTCTACAATTGAAAGTGGGTAAGGAGTATGGTATTTTAGACTTTTATTAAGTGGACTTGTTAAACAACGGGTATTGTGAGAAGTCACAAAGTGGGCTTTGGAATATTGAGCTAGAAATGTCAAGCTCGGGCAAGTTAGTTTAGCAGCTCATTCAAAAGAATACACACATTTCGATAGCTCGGAACAAAATCTGAAAACAAAATATACAGTAAGACATTGAAATTATAAAAATGTCCTTTTGCAACTGGACTCGATGCTGCCTGACGGCCAAGCGCATGGGGGTCTTTTCTCGCCAGCTGATCCGCTGCAAGGCGGACTACTCAAAGACCATTTGCAATCTGAAGGTCAATAAGGACACGAAGGTAATGGTGCAGGGCTTTACTGGCAAGCAGGCCACCTTCCACTCCGAGGAATCAAAGAAGTATGGCACTCAGATTGTTGGCGGTGTATCGCCCAAAAAGGGCGGCACAACACATCTGGAGAAGCCAGTGTTCAAGGACGTTAAGGAGGCAGTCAAAGAACTAAAGCCGGACGCAACAGTCATCTTTATTCCGCCAGCCACCGCGGCCGAGGGCATTTGCGCTGCCATCGAGAATGAGATTGGTCTTATTGTGGCCATCACAGAGGGCGTTCCGCAAGTGGACATGGTGCGCATTTTAGAGATGCTCAATTGCCAGGAGAAATCACGTCTATTGGGCCCCAACTGTCCGGGAATTATATCGCCGGAGCAGTGCAAGATCGGCATCATGCCTGGCCACATACACAAGCGCGGACTTGTGGGCATCGTATCCCGTTCCGGCACCCTCACCTATGAGGCAGTGCATCAAACTACGCTCGTTGGCTTGGGCCAGACCCTATGCATCGGCGTCGGCGGTGATCCCTTTAATGGCACAAATTTCATTGATGCTTTAAAAGTCTTCCTGCCCGACAAGGACACAAAAGCCATTGTTCTGATTGGCGAAATTGGCGGCACCGCTGAGGAGGACGCAGCTGAGTATCTCAAGAAGCACAACGCCGGCTGTGATGCGAAGCCAGTGGTGGCCTTCATAGCGGGCATGACGGCTCCACCGGGACGTCGCATGGGTCATGCGGGTGCCATCATATCCGGCGGCAAGGGTACTGCTTCCGAAAAGCTGAAGGCCCTCAAAGAGGCGGGTGTGATAATTGCTCTGAATCCTTGCCACATCGGCACGCTGCTCCACAAGGAAATGGTGCGCAAAAATTTGGTCAGCCCCAGCGAAAAGAAAGAGAAGAAGGGTAAGAACTGAGCCTTCATGTACGAATTAATGCCATTCAAGATTCGCGACTCTGGACACAATTTATATTTATTCATTCAACATTTTCAAGCAAAATCATCAAATTAGTATTTCGTCAAACAAATTAGTATTTCAACAAAACAACAACAAATTCAATAAAATTACATTTTTGAGAACAGAATGAGATATATCAAATAAATAAGAGCCTGCTCTTAATTGATGAAAACTCAAGACGATAGCTGCAGATTCCAACAGCTAAAGTAGAGAATATGAAATTAAGCAAGATTCATTGAGCTTTTTCTAATAGACCGATACTGAAAAAACAAACGTGCGTATTGGGTGCATCAATCAATATGTACACAAAACACGTGGGCCTGCTCTGGAGAGTTTGGCTGACTAGAAGACACCCTGTACCCAGTTCCACCACATGCATTCGATTTAGTTATAAATACGCTGTATAAACTATACTTGCCGCGCATTGGGAAGTTATTCAAGCAAAAAAAGATAAAATCCTTAAATCCTTTGAAGGGAGCGAGGAAAGTTTTATAACAATTAAAATATTCTTATTATCTGTATATCAAAAAATTTATCTTTTTTACATTAAAAATAAATGTTCAATTTAGAAACATTTTCTGTATTGTGACGATTTTGAACCCATTAACATTTTAATGTGTTGCATACTCCGCGCTGGGACTCTTTTTCTAAAAAACATATGAAAACAGAACAAAATGTTGTTTTCTGTTGAGTTGCCTGTTTTAGAGTTTGAGCTATCGACAGTGGAGCTATGGCAAAAGCCGCAGCATTTGGTTGCCCCAGTTTTGTGGGTCAACATTGTGCAGCGTGTCCGCGGGGTGTTGTTGGGGCAACAACTCCGCATTGATGGCCCGACCTGGTCCTTGGGGGCCAACAATTACACGAGTTTCATTTGCTTTAGCGCCAAATTCAGTCAACTTTTGGTGTTATGCTTGTACGCCAAAAAGCTAATTTTGTTACGTTGTCTGTTTTGTTGTTGCTTGTTCTTGTTGTTGTGGGTGGTTTTGTTTTTTTGAATCCTGCTGCTATTGTTGCTGTTGCTGCTGGGGCTGCTGGTGCTGGTGCTGCATGTCATGTCGCGGTGCTATTTTTCCGTGTTTTGCCTAACTGCCGGCTATAAACTAATTACCGCACATTTTTTGTAGTGCTTTTTTGTTCTTTGTTGTTTGTTCCTGTTGTTGTTGTTGTTTCATTGAGGTGTTGCTTTCGTGTTGTCTGCAAACTGCATCTGCCAACGATTATGTTGATAATTGGCGTTGGCGGGTCGACAGTATGCGGCGTATGTGGCGTATGCGCAACATTTGCAGCTGCAGCAAGGCATCTGCTCTCTGTTAGCCTACTTACCAGCTAGCTACCTGGCCATCTACTTGACAAATATTTAAATCATTTGCTGTCAGACAAAAGTCAGGTCTGCCTGTGCATGAGAGTGTGTGTGTGTGTGTGTGTGTGTGTGTGTGTGTGGCAAGCATTTCTCTCACCGAACTGGCGCATAATTTAACTAAAAGCAATTCAAAAAGGCAGCTCAGCTACAGCAGCACAAAGTGAAGCCAAGTGTAGCCAGGCTTCAACAACTGCTAAATGCCAGCAGCCATGTCGTAGCCACGCCCCCTCGAGTGAGACACACGAGTGGGCACACACACACACGCAAGCACACACTTGAAAAGATACGGTAAAAAGTTCTTGGCGCCCATTTTCATACTTATGCATAAAGTGAAAAGACCATATTGCCTGGACTTCCAACTTGTCTTATTACTTAAACACAGTTTTCAGAATATAAATATATATGCGCGCTGAGGGCGTGTCAAATAAGTAAAATCTACATCTTCCGTAGTTCAAGAGCTAGCTTGACCAAATTTGGAATCAAGACCCCTCTAAAGATCGATACAAAACTATCTCTTAGTAAAATGGGCGTGCTAGAGTATTACGCAGTCGGCTACACTCGACTGCAACATTCTTACTTGTTGTCGCTGTCTCTTTCTATGGCTTTAAAGTATTTGCCTGGTTTCTTTGCCCAGCTGCTTAGGTGTCAACGCTGCACTTGGGCAACGTGTATTTCAGTGAGTTATTCCTTTTCAAGCTTTTTACCAAATCCCAGAGTGAAGCACAGCACAGACAGAGAAACAGACAGACAGACAGGGCAGACAGACAGAAAAACAGAGAGGACAGACAGCTGTGGAATCGTATAGCAGCTGAGTTCCCAACAAGTGGCGCACTTCTGAGGACGAGTGTGCAGCACAAATGCATTTTCCTTATTAAAAAACCTATGTGTGTAAGTAAATTAAATAGTACTATGTGGTCAGAGTAAAATACTTTTCATTTAACATCCTGCTCCACTCGCCAAAGGTCGAAACTCAATTGGAAAACTGTTTGCAGTGTACTCAAAAAAAAAGAAGAAGAAAGAAACGGGTTTCAAGCTGCAAAAATCATTTCGCCTGATAATGCCATTCAGGAGCTGTGAGTGCTTCCATGAGGTGTGGCGAGGTGAGACAATGTGACAGCCACTCGACCGCAGGTACAGTGAAAAGCAATTAAAATAAGACAAGTCAAGCAAAACTGCAACTGAGCACAAAGGAACCCTCCGAGTAGGAGGAAGACGCAATTCTTATCCCAAGTGCAGTTTGATTTTTGATTTAAACAGGTGCGAGTGGTGCTGCATCAGGTAACAACTGCTGCTTGCGGCTACAGTGGTTAGTAAGCATTTATCCAGCTGGGCTTGGCAGTTGACTTACGAATTTAACGTATTAATTTGCCGCGTGCTGAAACACTCATCCGTTTGTAGAGTCAACGTCTTGATGTTTCAGACAGCGAAAATGTTGCCAAAATTAAAATAAATAACTGTAGAACTCTTATCACACATTTTAGATATGCGTTGAATTGCAGAGTATAAAATTGTGCTCTCTGTGTATATAATATTTATAAAATATTCAATATAGCCGGACATAAAGATTTTCGTATAAAATATTGAATAGCTATTTGATATTTCTTTTTTTTATGTACTTATTTTCCAGAGCTCTTCTCTTAAGCAACAAAAACGCAAATGAAATAGTAAATAAAAGGTCATGATTTCCGATGATTTTTAAATTTCCATGTTTGCATGTGTGTATAAAGATTTGATATTCATTTATATGCGAATAAGTTGGAAAAAAATGGTTTATTAAAGAAACAAAATAGAAAATAAAAACTCTGCTTCAAATTCAAAGCTTTTTTATCAGATGAGGAAAATTCGACAAAGCTCTCACAATACGCCTTTATGTTATAATTGAAGTGCTCGTACGGTTGCCTTAAAGAGCTGATATTGTCGATAAGCTAGACATATTTGAAAACATTGATTCAATCAACGCTCGTTAGCAGCTACAGCAGCTTGGCTTGGCTTTTACAAGACTCACCAGCTCCTGCTTTCCCATTAAATAAAATAATGTCCTTTATGCTTTTCCAACACGAGATGGAACAAGTAAAAGCAACCACAATTTAGCATCCACTTACAAGGCTGCCACACATCAAACTAATTGAAAAACTAAGCCTTTTGAGCTGAGCTATCAGGAAAAACGCGTCGAACGAGACCACAGTAGAGACCCATAAAGACCCACACACACACACACACGCACACACAAAGGGAGAGGGAGAGAGAGAGGGAGGGTGACCGTATTCGGGCCGTATATCGAAGTTACCAAATGCAAACAAAACCCCAAAATGTTGCATTTAATTGCAACTATTGGAAAGTTTTACCGCTTCATCGTCCTGCTACTGATGCTATAACAATTGCCACCGCATTTTTGTTCGTAAAGCCAAATTGGTTTATTTTCTTGCCAAATTCTCGCAGCACGTTTGACAACGCCAGCATAGATAGGGGCAGAGTAATGGAGCGGGCGGGCGGCCGGAGGACGATGGTGGGGGCAGCCACACGCTTGCTGCAATTGGAAATAGAAAAGTGCATGCAAGGAATTCATCCTCAACAAGTCACAACGAATTTGTCAATTTATGCAGAGCATGCAACGAAGCTCGGTCTTGGCCTCGTTCCCAATTGCCAAAAACCGAGACCATTTACGAGACCCCGTTCGCCCCTACCCCACGAGCAGCAAGCATCGCATTTTGAGCACCCGGTCCTCAATAGACCAAACACCGTTTGCATTGCTTTACGTTGAACCCATTGAAAATGGCTAAAAAGGGTATAATGCTCCTTTGAAAATGCATGTTGCAGATGTAAGCATTTTGCACCTCTTAATGTATATACTATATTTTATTCTTGATCAAGGCGACAAACTAAGTCGATCTTGAGTGTCCCGTCTTTTTGTCGACGTGAACTCTATGTTCTCGAAAACTGCTAAAACTAGTATATCTAGTATAACTAGATCTCATCCCTTCAAGATACCCTTCATTTTCATAAAATCCATAAAAATAGATTCGGATACTTGATTTTATAAGCATAACCCGAAAATTCTTAGAGCTTAATACACCAAGCTTCTCGTTTAGTATATACACATTACAAATATTACACCTCTTGTGGATACCTCCTCCATTCCCCCAAAATTGATTAGTAGAGCCTTTGTATGTACATATTTTTCAATGTCATATTTAAGTCCTGTAAATAATTTAGAGATCTGACCATAAAGACCCAAGGAAGCCGTGAATGCATCTCCTACAAATAGTGTGAGGCACAGGAAATAAGTTAATGGGCTTTATGTGAGTAGCTTTGGCCGTATATGTATGGATTCAGGGTATATTCTGATTCGGCACTCCCGACTAGAACACTTTTACTTGTTTTATATATCATTTTTGTCAAATGCAAACAAATGAAATGCTGCAAGTATCAACGCCGCGCCCTGCCGCAGACGTGCCACAGACCCACAGAAACTGGGTGGCACGGCCTGTTCCGTGGAGTTGTTGGGCTCGGTCGGCTCACAGCTGTCACAGAATTGACAATTACGACAATTGAGATTTTATTGGACAAAGTTTCGATTGGATGTGATTACCAATGTATTCAATGATTACTAATGATTCCAAAAATGTTACGCCATCAACTTTACCGCAATTAACATCTCTTTTGTTGTGCATATTTGGGTTTTGAATATTTGGTTTGTGCAATGAATGTTTTTTATTGTGTTCACATTAATTGACACTTGACATTTGAAAGGAAATTTGTACACAATGAATAGATGGCAAAATTATTGCTGTTGCCCTTGTGGCATTTAGTTATTTATTTGCACATATTCATTGGCATATTCAAATGGCATATACTGCATATTTCTCACCAGATAATAGATAGATAAGTTTAATTTATTATAAGGATTAAAAGCGCTCATACAACTATTTTAGACAAACACCCTCAGCAGGCGACGACCTAGCCAACCGACCCGACTTCGCAGGCCCTTAAATTCTACTCTTTTCAGCTGAATGTTAGTCTGCAAACTATGCAAATTTGCCAGCACATGGTTAAAAGCTGTCAACTTTTATGCTTAGCGCGCAAATAATTAGAAAAGTTCGTTGACTGTTGGCTAAAAAGCCACAAGCCCACATATAGACAACAACAACAACAGCTTCATGTGTGAGAGGAATTCAATTAAATATGCAAAACTAAAATTTATATTAAAAAAATGA